ATAATTACTTAATTTCTCCCCTTCCTTGTTTCTCATTCCAATTCCTCCCATGTCCCCTCCTCACTCCCTCTCAAAGTCATGGTCTCCTTTTCTTTGACTGCTATTGTTACACACACACACACACACACACACCCCTGCTGAGCCCATTTACCATTGCTTGTGTGCATACAGTGAGATAGTGTCAAGGGTTTTGGTAGTAGTTAGGCCATTACGGGGCTCATCCCTGGGAAAGACTAAATCTTCCTCTCCAGACCGTCAGTAGCGAACGGCAGTTCTTTATCTAGAGGTGGGAGCCCTGGTGACCCGTCCACCTACTGGTGGTGTTACTCTTCAGCTTTTATTTAGGCAGCCATGTCTGCCCAGGTACAATAGGTGCTGCTTCCTGTCCTTTCTACCTCCTGTTCCTCTGGTTCTTACAGTCTTTCTGCCCCTCTTTAACGATGTTCTCCAAACCTGCAGAGGTATATTGTAGGGTACACCAGCAGCAGTTGATCTTTGTATTATGATTAGCTGTGGTTTTCTGTAGCATAAAATTCCTTTTTAGCCAGGTGGCGGTGGCAGCACATGCCTTTAATCACAGAGGCAGACACAGGAGGATATCTGTAAGTTCAAGGCCAGCCTGGTCTACACAGTGAGTTCAAAGCTAGCCAGAGATACATAGTGAGATCTGCTTCAAAGAAGGAGGAGAAAGAGGAGGGGGAGGAGGAGGAAGAGGAGGAGGAGGAGGAGGAGGAGGAGTTGAAATTTGCTCTAAACAGTAGACCCAGGGTGTACGGCTGGCTGAGTCCTAAAGCACTTGCTTAGCATGCACATGAGATCTTATATTCAATCACTACAAAGGGAAAACAAATACAGCTAGCATAACGCACCCTCCAGTCATCAGGAGTGATCAACCCACGGCTTATCGTTCAGCAGAATGTTCACGCTGCATTTTGCCCAGGGTCGGCCACTCATTTAAACACAATACCTTTGTTAGCTACCTCCGAAAGACCTGTCTTTACTTGATATGTATTGAAGGGCTATGCTCAGCCCAAAGAGCAGGCAGGGACCACCACAGTCTCTCTACCTTCAGGAGCTCCCAGCCTGAGGGAGACAGAGGGAGGGGAGGAAGCATCCAGCCCTCCAACTGCTTTCATGGAGGAACTGGGTGTGCACTGGGAGGCAAGCAAGGAGGGAGAACACTTGGCAGACCAATGGGCCCCAGGCAGGAGAAGCTACAACCACGAGCCACGCGGGCTAAACTACCTAGCTGACCCAAGAGAGGAAGAAAGACAGGCAGGGAGGAGACAGGTGAGAACATCATTGGGGGTGGTTAGTCATCAGGTATCAGTGGGTGGGTGTGCCACAGAGAGTCCCGGAAACTACAAGCCGGTGAGCCATAGTTGCAGAGTTAGGTGACTGGTGTTAGGGCTGGGTTTTCACTAGCTTTTAGAACTTGCTTCTCTGACCTGTTGGGAAGGTGTCTGTGGTCAAGGCTTTTCTCCTCTTTGTCTCTGTGGAGTTGAATGAGTGCTGGAGCTGGGAGATCTGTGAGGTGGGTGTGTCAGGCCCGCCTAGGAGCAGGTCCTACCAGAGAAGCTCAGCCCAGCCCAGCCCAGCCCAGAGTGTCAGCGGAAGCCAGCTTGGGGCAGCAGCAGACGAAGAGCAACCGATCACAGGTATGGAGATGTGTCAAGTGGGGCTGGACCACCAGAAGTGGGGGACATCGGTGAGGATGGAAAATGTAGGTGGGTCATAGGCTCTGGGAAACCCTTTTAGATACAGTGAAAAGACAAACGGGGCTGCCCCATGTAGATAAATCTTTCCGTAGCAAGCCTGAAGAGGCAGCCAACATAACTGAGACACCTGACAGGCTGAAGCCCCACTGGAGGCCACCATAGGTCTTCCCCTAAATCTTTAGGCTCCTGCTTTCATGCTGACCCCGAGCTCCCCAAGGAGAGTTCTCTGAGGTCTGCTTCAAACCCACTCTTCCTGAAAGGCCAGGTCCTGTTCTGGAAGACACGGAGCTGCTCTGAGTTAGATTGGCTAAAGAGCTTACTGGTAAAAGATGGGCTACCAAGGTACGTTTTATTTGGTTATTCGGTGCTGGGGACAGAAAGCCCTATATGCTAAGTACTTGTCGTACCACTGAGTGTCCCCCTTTTTTTTTGAGATGTTGCCTAGACTGGCCTCAAAATCTGTATGTAGTTAAGGAGGACCTTGAACTCCTGAACCCTCTCCCTGGAGTCCCGGGTTTACAGGCATGGAGCACACATCAGGTTTATGCAAGTGCTGGATGATGGACCTAGGTCATGCTAGGCAAGCATTCTGCCCACTGGGCTGAATCCCCAGTTTCCTGATGGGTGAGTCTCCTATGGGTGAGTGAGGTCTCATTATGCTTTCTAGGATGGACTTCAAGTCCTAACCTCAACAGACCCTCCTTATCCTCTTGGCTTTCCTGAGAGTTAAAACTCTACCTGTAAGGCATGATGTCAGATCTCTTTCATCTGGTTTTTGCCTATGCTAGAGATTAAACCCCTGTGAACGCTAGGAAGCATCCTACCACTGGGCTACCTGGCCCTTCCAGGTATATTTCAATACCTGGAAGCACTGCCCCAACCTGATATGCTCATATGTAACAGAAGACTGTCAGGCTGTGTGGTCTCCCTGTCCCCGTGGCTTGTCAAAGAATGACTCATGAGTGACTAGGAGAGGAAATGGGCCACTGTACATATTTGGGAACTCATGGAAGGCTGTCTGGGACTTTTGCCGTACCGATGCAGGCCACTGCCTGCCTACTACCGATGGTTATGGGCGCTCAGTGATAAGAAAGGGACACCTAGACTTCTAGAGCTTTTCACTTATAGTGAACTGAAGTCATAGCCCAGGGGGACTGCGGGGGGTGGAGTGGGGGGGAGAACTGTGACAGTGGCCCCTCACTTCCCAAACAACAAGAGACACTAGCGGTCAGCTCAGTCTGTACTGTCTGATGTCATTAGTTCTCTACCCTGCTGTTCTCAGTGTGTATCCCACTGACACAGAGACCTTTTTTTTGTCTAGGGGCAATAATAATAATAATAATAATAATAATAATAATGGCAGCCAAGGAGGATACAGCAGAAAAGGGAGAACCATTGGTTATATTTATGTAGCCGAGAAACCAAGCATTTGCCTGGTGTGCACAAGGTTCTGGGTTCATCCCCAGCATAAAAAAATAAAAGGGTGTGGACCTCTGAGGCCTGCGGTATGATGGAAGTTCAGAGTAAGGTCACCCAGCCTAAAAGGCTCCAGGAGATTATTCAGAAGGGGCAGGACCTGTCAAGCCTGAAGCAAGGGTAAGACACACACAGGGCACAGCTCAGACGCAGGGCACAGCTCAGCACTCCACTGGGCCTGTGGCAGTGACTTTTTTTTTTTTTTTTTGGTTGGAACTTTATTTCCTGTTTCTCCAGCTTTGGAAGGTAGGGTGGAGAGAGAGGTGGGTAAGCTGTCTTCTACACATCAGGGGAACTAACCACAGCACTGCGGGACACTGCCACAAGCATTTTGAAATTTTGAAGGATGAGCATATTCCCTGCACTCTTGGGGCCTGAGGCAGGAGATTTGTCATGAATTCCAAGTCAGCAAGAGATCTGTGAAACCCTATCTCAAGGAGCAAGAGAGAAGTGGGCGAGGAGAGAGAAAGCTCACTGGAGAGAGCTGGCCAGGCACAAGGAAGAGAATCACAGTGCCCAGGAGAGAGACAGGGAGGCTGAGGGTGATGCTGGAAGTCAGGGCAAGAAAGACTCTGGTATAGAGAGGCTGAAATCGGAATTTTGGTTAGAGAGCAGGGCAGCCTTGGTCAGGGAGATGACCCCATGATGAAGCAGGAGACCTTGGCCTGAAGCCACAGGATGGCTATCTTTGCTACCTGGGGAATAGGAAGCCTCTAGTCTTTCTGGTGTCCCCAGAGACTATCTGCCTCTAAGCTGGTCAACCTTACTCTGGATTCCCCAGAGCACAGACTTTCCCATCTTTCCTTGGCCCTCAGTCTCAGGGGAAGCTGACTGGTAAGAAAGATTCAGAACACATCTTTTTGTTTAGAGACAAAGTCTTATCATGTAATTAACTCTGCTGCCCTGAACTTGCTCTATAGAAAAGTGTGTGCCAGCATCCTGGGCCTTTTTTTTGTTGGTTTTTTTTTTTGTTTTGTTTTTTTTTGGTTTTTCGAGACAGGGTTTCTCCTTATAGCCTGGGCTGTCCTGGAACTCACTCTGTAGACCAGGCTGGCCTTGAACTCAGAAATCCGCCTGCCTCTGCCTTCCAAGTGCTGGGATTAAAGGCGTGTGCCACCACTGCCCAGCTGGGCCTTTTTTTGAATGGTCTGAACTTGGCTGTGTAGATCAAGCATCTTCCAGCTTTCTGCCTCCCAAGTGCTGGCATTACAGGTATATACCCACTCCTCTGAGGATGGGACAAAACTAACAAGTCTAAGGCCTGGTACTCAGCATACCCTGGGGCCCTGTAGGGAGCTTAGTGGATAGGTATGATGTCATTCTTACTCTGGAGCCTGTCAGGGGAAAGGTGGACATGTTCAGCGTTCCTTGAACAGAAACAGAGGAAGTGTCTTAACTTAGGCACTTAAAAAAAAAAAAAAAAGGTATTTCTTGTGTTTTGGCTGAGAAAAGACTGGAGGCTATCCCAGAAGTAATTGTAGGCACAAAGACCTGAGTTTTGACCCTGTGGAGAAGGCAGGAGGATGTGAATTGATAACGGGAGGCACAAAGCAAAGCATTTGGTGTGTGTGTGTGTGTGTGTGTGTGTGTGTGTGTGTGTGTAGTGATGGGGACACAGAGACCGTGGTGAGCAGGCAGATTCTTCCCACCTTCATTATTGTGAGTCCTTTGCAGCCGTCTTCTGCATTATTGGCTGCATGCTGGGGAGGGTGTCTCCGTTGGGCAGAGCATGGGGAACGCGTGCAGGACAGATCATGAGTTAGCCTCCTGCCTGCTTTGCTTTTGGTTCTTACTTCCTGCCTGTGGCAGAAAATAGCCCTGCCCCGCTCCCTTATCTCAGTTAAGAGCAGCACCCAGCCTAGCTCAAGAGGGCAACAGGACAGGTTCCAGAGGTCCCAAGAAGGTAAGGGACATAGCCCCCAGATGTGCACATGGGAACCCAAAGAGAGACACCTTAAGCCGTCGGTCCAGTGGGGGAAGGGTGGAGGTGGGGGGCTTGGTGTGCAAAGCTTCATGCTTCTGGTTCCTCTATAGTGTCAGTGGTTTCTTTGGTTTTTTTTTGTGCCTGTGGTCTGAGATATTCTTGCATATGTCTGTATGAACATGTGCCAATGAAAGAACCTGGTTCTATGTACATCTGCGTAAGATCTTCCCCAAGGCAGAGGTCAGGGTGACTCTTTCTTCTCTGGCCCACGTGGCTCTGCACATGTCACTGCATGTACCCAGGCACTGATTTGTATGCTAATGTATGCATGCCTTTGTGTGTCTATGTATGAAAATGTGTGCTATGGTGTGCCTATGTGAAATCAGTGTCCGCATTACTAGGCCTATGTGGGCCTCCATGGCCCTCGTCCTAGCTGGTGAAGTGAAACTCCAGTGTTTCTTCTTTTTGGAGGCAGCAGCTACTTGTTTGTTTTTTTTCTCCATCTTCCCTGCAACCTGGCCTCCTCTACAAGGCAGAACTAGGGAGAGGGTCCGTGCTACCTCTCTTCCATACCTACATCCCTCCATTCATTTACCGTTTGCCTCCCCTTTGGCAGTTTTCCCCGTCTTTGCCATCTGGCCTGGCACTGGGCCCATACAGCTCCAGAGCCAGAAGCCCAGAGCTCAGGGAAGGAGGGGAATGGGGTAAGGGGCCAGGAGGGAGGAGCCTGGCAGCTTTCTCTCTGCTGGAAAGAGGTCACTTTTTCACAAATAGGCTCCACTGTGAAGAAACCCAAAAACTCTTTGGAATAGGGTAATGAGATCGTCACTGTTTCCTTCTCTAAGGGATCCCGCAATTCCCCTTAAGTAACCGCCCAGAGAGTCCATTTTTGTCTGCTTAAACTTCATAACTTGTGTTTAACAGAAAGGCTTGACATTCTTGGAAAAGGATGAATTCCTGCACTCACTCAGTGCCTAGAATGCTCTTCCTGATTGCAAGGAGTTATTGATTTTACAAGGAAGGGTTAAAGATGATAAGATCTTGCTGCTTCACTTATAAACCATGTTTAAAAATAAATTTTTCCAAAATTTATTTTTTATTACTTTATGTGCATTGGTGTTTTGCCTGCATGTACGTCTGTGTGGGGGTGTTGGATCCCTTGGAACTAGGGTTATAGACAATTGTGAACTTCCATGTGGGTGCTGGGAATTGAACCGTGGTCTCTTGGAAAAGCAGCCCACTACTGAGAACACCTGAGCTATCTCTCCAGTCCCATTAATTTTTAAAAAAATAACGCATATGCATGTGTCTTTCTGTCTGTGGGTCTGTTAAGGTGCCCAAGGGGACCAGAGCTGTTGGAGTCCCTGGAGCTGGAATTCCAGGGTGTGGGCCAGCTGACATGAGTACGGGGACGGAACTCCAGTACTATGCAGGAATAGTACTAGCTCCATCCTGCCATCTCTCCAGCCCCCTTACTGAAACTGTAATGCAAGTGTTTTCAATATGGCCTGTTCAGAGACCTGGTGTCCTATGAGTCAGTAATGGAGCAGAGGCAGAGGTGTGGTAAATGGTTGGGTAGTTCCAGGAAGACAAAAAAAAAAGGGTGGGCTAATAATTTGTTGGATAGAAACCATTTTCCTTCCAAGTGACCAAAGAGATTCCCTCGGGGGACCTAAGTGCAAGCAGGGGCTGGTGTGTCTCTAAGACTGCAATCTTCACCCTAGGGCTTTACCATCTAGTTAAGGGAAGGGATGAATACACAAAACAGCTAATGGGTTAAAAGCACTTAAATGCACCAAGCTAAAAGGCCTTTTCTGGTTTGAAACCAGGTGTCCCTTTTGGCTCAGGCTGGCCCTCACTGCTGGACTCCTCCTATCTCAGCCTCCTGAGTAGCTGGGACTTCAGGAATGCAGCACAGCTCCTTGCTTAAGTGCTTAAGTACTTAGAGGAAACACCATCAGGAGGCCTATCTGTGCGTGCATGAGACAGAGGCAGGTGTTTGCTGCCAGTGTGCTAAGGGGATTAAAAAGGAAGTGGGTTATGGGAATATATGTCAATGGGACAAATGAGGAAGTGAACCAAGTGGCCCATGGGCATAGATTTCATACGGGCAATTCTAAAAGAGCAGGTGCTCCGTGCAGCAGCCACCCACAATCCCTCCTATTCATTTTGTTGGCAGCAGCCAATCTCCAGTGTGGACTTTGGAGCTAGGAAGTCCTAGCTTTGGGTCCTTCCTTCATCCCTTAGGGAGCAGCCTTCCTGCTTTTTTTTTCTTCCCTATAACAATGACGATAAACACCTGCCTCAAAGCACTGTGGGAAGGATTAGAGACCATGCATAGCCTGGCACAGCATAGCATAGCATAGCATAGCATGGCTGGAGTAGGGTGACCAACAGCTGTCACTTCCCACTCTATAGGTATTGGTGCAGGTGCTGAGGTCACAAAGATGAATGAGCCACCTTCTAATGAGAGAGGCTAAGAGCGAGATGTCACCATCCATGTAGGAACAGCTGAGATATCCGTGTACCCCAAATCCTGGGTAGCAAAAGGAAAGGGGCTAGACTACCCCACCCTGCTGAGGAAGACAGAGCCAGGGAAGGGGTCACAAGCCTCGTGGAAAGTGACTGGGTCTCTCAGGTGAAGAATGGCAGAAAGAACATTCTGGGTTGAAGACATGCCAGCTGCAAAGAGGCCTGAAAGCACAGGGTGTGTGCAGAAGCTGCCGGCTGGCTGAAAGTGGGGCAGAGGAACTTGGGGGGAGGGGGGAGGTCTTTGCTTTCGGCATGCTTACGTCTTATTTGGTACTATCATCTCTGTATCTGTGGGGAGGTGGTTCCCGGACCCCTTCAGATGCCAAAATTCCTGGAGGCATAAATCCTACACATATTGTCCTAAGGCTTTAAGCCCAGGCCAAGTTCTACCTACCAGTAATCCTAGCACATGGGAGATGGAGGCTGGAGGAGCAGGGTTCAAGGCTACCCTTGGCTGACTCGTTTTAGGGTAGGTTAGTAGGTCACCTGAGACCCTGTGTTATCCTCATCTCCACACAAATCTCTAGGTTGCTTATAACCTGCATAATACAATGTAAATAGATTTTTGTCCCCAGCAGTGGTGGCGCACACCTTTAATCCCAGCACTTGGGAGGCAGAGGCAGGCGGATTTCTGAGTTCGAGGCCAGCCTGGTCTACAGAGTGAGTTCCAGGACAGCTAGGACTACACAGAGAAACTCTGTCTCAAAAAAACCAAAAAAAAAAAAATAAAATAGATTTTTGTTGTTGTCTTTATTTCATTCTCTCTCTCTCAATTTCTCTCTCTCTCTCTCTCTCTCTCTCTCTCTCTCTCTCTCTGTATTCATGTTGGTGTGTACTGAGCCATCTTACCACGTTTGTGTTTTGAAAAAGGGTTCCCCTATAGAAGCCCAGTCTATTGTCCTGCTTCACTCAGCCTCTGGAGTAACAAGCCTGTGCCCACACCCTGCTTTTTTTTTTTAAGATTTATTTTTATTTTATGTGTAGGGTGTTTTGCTTGCATGTATGACTGTGCACATGTGTGCAGCGTCCATGGAGGACAGAAGGGCACTGGATCCCTTGGAACTGGAGTTACAGTTGTGAGCTGCCATATAGCTGCTGGGAATTGAACCCAGGTCCTCTTGAAAAGCATTGATTACCTTTTTAAAAAGGGTTTTGTGCCGGACGGTGGTGGTGCATGCCTTTAATCCCAGCACTTGGGAGGCAGAGGCAGGTGGATTTCTGAGTTGAAGGCCAGCCTGGTCTACACAGTGAGTTCCAGGACAGCCAGGGCTATACAGAGAAACTGTCTCGAAAGAACCAAAAAAAAAAAAAAAAAAGGTTTCCTATGTGGTTTTTATTGTTTTGTTTTAGACAAGGTCTCTGTATATAGCCCTACTGTCCTGAAACTTGGTGTGTCGACCAGTCTGGCCTTGAACTCATTAATATCCTTAGCCCAGGCTAAACTTGAATTTGGGATTTTTTGTACCTTAGTTTCCTGAGTTCTGCCAGATCTTGTAAATAGATCCATACTGTACTTTTTGAGTGAAATAATGACAAGGAAACATCTATATGTGTATTCGAAACAGATGCTTTTTTTTTTTCTTTTGAGATGGGGTACTGCTGTGTTTCCCAGGCTGTTTTTAGTACCCTGAGTTCAAGGGATAATCCTGCCTCATCATCCCAAGGCTGGATGTAATCCACCTGTCTGGTTGGTGGTGTTTTTGAGACAGTCTCCATCTGTAACCTAGGCTGAACCCTAGGCATCTTCCTAAGTGCTGGGATTACAGGGTCCCATGTAGCCCAGGCTCCAAGTGCTGTGATTACAGGCAGGGTCACCATGCCTAGCTCAGATACAACATTCATTCTGTCTGTCTGTCTGTCTGTCTCTCTCTCTCTCTTGTTCTCGCTCTCGCTCTCCAGAGCCTCACACTCTGTAGCCCAAGCTAGCTTCAATTTCCTTCTGCTTTAAGTTCTAAAAACGTTTTTTAGATTTATTCCTTAGTTTATGTGTTTTGCCTGCGTGCATGTGTGTGTACCGTGTGTGCACTGGGTATCCATGAACCACAGAAGAGGGTACCGGATCCCCTGAAACTGGAGTTCTAATCCCATTGTATGGGTGCCGGAACCCACATCCTCTGCAAGAGCAGCAAGCGCTCTCAACCACAGAGCTATTTCTCTAGCCCCTGCTTTTTACCCTTTGAGTGCTGGCACTACAGACATCTACTACTCAGCCTGACTTTGGGCCCATTTTTTGTTTTTTTTTTTTTTTTTGAAGACAAGTCTAACTGTATAGCTTTGGCTCACCTCATCTGGAATTTGCTATGTAGATGAGGCTGGATTCAAACTCACAGAGATCCTGCATCTGCCAACCAAGTGTGCCACCATGCCTGGCCAGATGCAGATTTAAGAAGAAAACAAACTACACATTTGTTTTGTCTGAGGTTGGTTGAACATATATTGGCCACAGGGAGCCCACACATGGAGGGCTGGCTGTGGCTCCATTATTTAAATTGGTATTTTATGGAGGAAATATTTATTCCACTTTAGATGTTTTACTATGCTTGCTATAGATCTTCAGAAGCTGGTTGTTAGAACAAAAAAAAGCCCCTATGAATTTGATACTGTCAAGCCACTTAGTTCTGTAAGCTAATTTATTTATTGAAATGCTGGAGATAAATCCCAGGGCTTTGACTATGTAGGGAAGGAGCTTATCATGGAGACACAGGCACGTCCTAATGCAAGAATTTCAAAAGTGCCTTTATTTATTTATTTATTTATTTATTTATTTCCAAGACAGGGTTTCTCTGTATAGCCCTGGCTGTCCTGGAACTCACTGTGTAGACCAGACTGGCTCAAACTCAGAAATCCACCTGCCTCTGCCTCCCAAGTGCTGGGATTAAAGGCGTGTGCCACCACCGCCCGACAATTTATTTATTTTCGAGATAGGCTTTCTATGTATAGCTGTGGCTGTCCTGGTACTCGCTCTGTAGACCAGACTCAGAGATTCTCCCACCTCTGCCTCCCGAGTACTGGGATTAAAGGTGTGCCTTTTAATAGATAACTTTTATTTTATGTATGTGTGCAAGCATGCATGTGTCACTGGACATGGGTAGGTCAGATGACAACTCTCAAAGGAGTTGGTTCTCTCCTGCCACTTTATGGGATCCTAGAGTCCTACTCAAGTGGTCAGGTCTATGGACAGGTCCTTCCACCCACTCGGCCATTTCACCAGCCCTTCTGAAAAGAATTAGTGTTTTGTTTATGCATATGGGTATTTTGTCTGCATGTTTACCTGTACACCAGACAGCATGGGATCTCATGAGACTACAGTTAGAGCTGCCGTGTGGGTGCTGGGAACTGACTTCAGAACCTCTGGAAGACCAGAGAGTAAATGCTCTTAACGGCTGAGCCATCTCGATAGTCCTAGATTACTGTTTTGGAGATAATGACTCAAAATCTGAGACAACTCCTTTCCCTAAGATACCATGTAGATACCCAGAGCAATAGTAGTCAGCGAGGGGTTAAACAGAAATACCCATGTCTGCTCGGAGGTGAGAGACAAGCAAAGTGTCATGTACACACAACTTGCTGTTGCAAAGGCTGGGTTTGTAGCTGGGAGAGAAGCAAGCTTTGCGTTCGTTTGTGTTTGAGACAGGGTCTCATGTAGTTCAGACTGGCCTGGAACTTCTATGTAGTTGAAGATGACCATGAATTCCCATTCCTCCTGACTCAGCCTCCAAATGCTAGAGTGCAGATGTGCACCATGGCCTGTAGATATACTTAGGGTTTATAAGGCTCTGGGTTCTACCCCTTACCAGCACTGAAGAAAAAATTCTACCACACACTGCAATATCAATGGATGAGTGGAAGGATGGATGGAAGGAAGAGTGGGTCTTGGAAAAAGGATGCTAAGGGAAATAAGCCAGACACTGGACAAACACTATCACTCCATCACCCTGAGGCATTTAGAACAGACATCAGAGACAGAAAGCAGAAAGAGGTTACCAGAGGCTGGGGAAAGGGTGCCAGAGGCCGTGTTGCTTCGTGAGTATAGCACTGTTTGACATAATGAAAAAATTCTATTTCTGGACATGATTTGTGGTTAGAATTATATATATTAATGATATAGAGTTATTAGATTCTTTAAAAATGCTATGAGGGGCTAGAGGGATGGCTCAGCAGCTAAGAGCACTTGCTGCTCTTCCAGAGAACCCAGGTTTTCCCCAACACCTGTGTCAGGTGTCTCTCAACTGTCCGTAACTCCAGCTCCAGGAGATCCTGGATTCTGGCCTCGGATCACTGTACATATGTGCACAAACCCCATACCCAGACACATAAATACACATAATTAAAACACTAATAACTAAGTCCTGGAGAGCTGGGTGCACACCTTTAATCCTAGCACTTAGGGTGCAAAGGCAGGAGCAGCTCTTTGAGTTTGAGGCCAGCCTGGTCTTCGTACTGAGTTCCAGACTAGACAGGGCTACTCTGAGAGATTCTGTTCTAGGACAGCCAGATTTACACGGAGGAACACTATACTGAGAAACATAAAACAAGCAAAAACAGCAACATCATCATCATCAACAACAACAAAAGAGATGGATCAGAGGTTAAGAGTGCTTGTTGTTCTTACAGAGGACCCGGGTTCGGTTCCCAACACCCACACAGGTACTCCCAAGCTCTGATACTCCCGTCCCAAGTCATCTGATGGCCTCTTCTGGCCTCCAAAGGCACGAGGCACATATATGAATACTCATAAACATAAATTTTTTTAAAAAAAATAAGTATTTTAAAACAAAATATCTTTTAAAATTAAAATAAGTAAAAGTGATGTAAGAGATGGGTGCCGTGGGAGATACCTGCATCCTGAGCTGAGGCAGAGAGAGCAACGCTGGACCTCAGACCAGCCAGTCTGGGCAGCATCGGCAGATTGTGTCTCTAGGAAAAAAATAAAATGAAATAAAATTTAAAAAGTAAAAAACAGAGCTGATGATGTAATCCTAACAGAGCTGATGATGTAATCCTAGCAGTTGGGAGGTTGGGGCAGGAGGAGGGTCACGGGTTCAAGGCCAACCTCAATTACATAGCGAGTTTGATATCAGCCTAGGTTATATGAGAGTATGTCTAAAAAAAAGGCACAGACTAAATTATATTCCTTCTAACATAGACACAAATTGTGTACGAGGTGGAGATAGAGAGGTGGCCCCATGCAGCCTCTTGCATGCTGCAGGTTGTCTACCTCTTAGCTATCCTTGGATGCCAATTGGTTTCTCGTAGTGAGTGCCCCATGGTTTAGTAAGGAGGGCTCACACAGGAGACACCAGGAGAAACTCTCCCAAGGCAGTGGTTCTCAACCTGGGGGTCAAGACCCCGTTGGATATCAGATATCCTGCACCTCAGATATTTACATTATGATTCATAACAGTAGCAAAATTACAGTTATGAAGTAGCAATAAAATTTTTATGAGGGCTGGAGAGATGGCTCAGTGGTTAAGAGCACTGGCTGCTCTTCCAAAGGTCATGAGTTCGATTCCCAGCAACCACATGGTGGCTCACAACCATCTGTGATGGGATCTGATGCCCTCTTCTGGTGTGTCAAGGACAGTGTGCTCATATACATTCAATAAATAAATCTCTAAAAAAAAAAACAAAAAAATTTATGGTTGGGGGGCGTCACCACAACCTGAGGAACTGTATTAAAGAGTTACCGAACTAGGAAAAGCTGAGAATCACTGCCTGGAGGCCTTCCGGCATCTTGCTGACAGGAATGTTAAACTGTCCTTCACGTGCCTCTGGCCAAGGCTGAGGCAAGTGTCCTGGAATTACACCAGCACATTCCCATTTTATAGATGAAGTGATGGAGGGTTAGGTCACTCAAGCTGAATGCAGCTGGGTCTCTCTGAGCAAACCCAGCCCACAAAGAGAGAAGGTCAATAGGATGGACCAGACTGGTGGCTTGTCCTGGACTTGAGAGTCTGAACTTTATTCCTTAGATAAAGTTCACCCTGACCCACCCCTGGCCAAGCGGAAGTGCTCTACAGCTCTCCCCACTGGTCAGACCTATTTGTGGTGTTTGTTGTTACTCTTCCTCTAATGGAATGTGAGCTGGTGGGTGGGACAAGGCCTTTGTTTTGTTCATTTCTGTGGACAGGCGGGAACTTTCTAAGGATTCAGTAAACATTTAAGGGAAGGCAGGCAGGCAGGTTATAAGGACAGCAGCGGAAGCATCTTAATCTTAATGTCCAAACAATGTCCTGAAATAGATGCTAACTCAAACACCTTCACTGGAACCCAGATAAAGAAAATGGAATTCAGAGCAAATCACCTCTCTGAGGCCACAAAGCTAGGCAAGTGACAAACCCAGGACTTACGTATGCAGAGCCTGCCTGGAACCCTTGACCACAGGACCTGGGCATGGCACTGTAGGATACAGAGGAACTATAAAATGCCATTCGGGATGGAGAAAGATGGTCTTTCTTGAGGCCAAGAAAGGACTCAGGAGGCCAGCGGTTAGCTAAGTGTTTAGACTACAGTTCTGTTTCTTGTAACTTTACTTTTGGCTTGCCTTCCCACTCCAGGTCTCCACTGCTGAAGTTGCAGCACCAAGGGCTTCCAGCCTTGGCCAGTCATCTGCCACTAAGGTCACAGACTACATGCCCATGTCTTGCCTCTGCTTGCCTGGGGACAGACTCTGTATAGCCACCAGGCTACCACCCTGGAGGTGAAAGCCATGCTCTGACCTTGGTGTTCCCTACGATGCCTCTGACTAGTTTCTCTTCCCACCTGGCCGCGATGTTTGCCAATTCTTCAGCCAACACCTCCTTTACCAACAGCTCTGTGCCCCAGTGTCGTGACTATCAAGGTATACATCGTTTGCATATGGTGGTCTACAGCCTGGTGTTGGCGACCGGTCTCCCTCTCAACGCTCTGGCTCTCTGGATCTTCCTGCGTGTACTGCGTGTACATTCAGTGGTGAGCGTGTACATGTGCAACCTGGCAGCCAGCGACTTACTCTTCACCCTGTCACTTCCCCTGCGCCTCTCCTACTATGCACGGCACCACTGGCCCTTCCCAGACTTCCTGTGCCAGACGTCGGGCGCCATCTTCCAGATGAACATGTACGGCAGCTGTATCTTTCTGATGCTCATCAACGTGGACCGCTATGCGGCCATCGTGCACCCGCTGAGACTGCGCCACCTGCGGCGGCCCCTCGTGGCACGGCGGCTCTGCCTGGGCGTGTGGGCTCTCATCCTGCTGTTCGCCGTGCCCGCCGCCCGCGTGCACAGCCCGTCCATCTGCAAGTACAAGAACATCACCGTGAGCCTGTGCTTCGAGAGCTTCAGCGATGAACTGTGGAAGGGCGGGCTGCTGCCACTCCTGCTGCTGGCCGAGATACTGGGCTTTCTGCTGCCCCTGGCGGCTGTCGTCTATTCGTCGGGCAGGGTCTTCTGGACACTGGCAAAGCCCGACGCCACTCAGAGCCATCGGCGACAGAAGACCGTGCGCCTCCTGCTGGCCAACCTCATCATCTTCCTGCTGTGCTTCGTGCCCTACAACTCCACGCTGGCAATTTATGGGTTGCTAAAGGCCAACCTGGTGGAGAACAGCCTTCAGTACCGCGATCAGGTGCGCGGGGTGCTGATGATAATGGTGCTGCTGGCCGGCGCCAACTGCGTGCTGGATCCACTGGTTTACTACTTCAGTGCCGAGGGTTTCCGTAACACTCTTCGCAACCTGGGTACCCCGCTCCATACCAGGCCCTTGGCTACCAATGGGGCTAGAGGGGTGCTCACCGAACCACCCTCAGAAAGCACCCAGAACACTGGACAGGATGCCACCAGTCAGGGTCTACTCCAGCCTGCCAGTCTGGGTACACCCATGGACAACAGCCCTCAGGATTCAGCCCTCTGAAAGGACGCGGTCATAGTGTACGTAGTCTTGTGCATCTCTCAAAGGCTTAGGGTGTACATTTGAGGGAGGTGGGCTGGGTACTTGGACTTTGAAGCAATTCCATCTCTAGCGTGCAGAAGAGAACAAGTGTGTAAGCAAGGGCATAGAAAAGGAAGAGCGCTGCTGCTGACTGGTTTAGCCTCTGTTTATTACACAGAGGACCCCTGGCTCCAGAATGTAGGAAGCTCAGCAGTGAGCATGCGCATGGCTAAGAGTTGATACATGGACCAGAAGATGGATCTCCAGGATTTAGGTCATCAGTCTGAGAGCTAACGATCCCCTGAGCTTGGTGAATCAACTACACAGACGTTCATCTGTCATCTTCAAAAATACAACTCAGGGCTGGTGGTGGAACCGAGATCCCACAGCCCGCACATGCTGGGCCAGCACATTGCCACTGAACTGTATGCCAGCCCTACCTGCCGACTTCTGCGCTTACCCAAGGGCGACAGCCACTGTGCCACCAGCCCTGGCTTCCCTGCTCAGGTGACAGGTGTAACACAAGGTTTATTTGCCATGGACCAAATAGTTGTGACCCATTTCGTGACTTGTGACTTGTAACAACTGAGACACCTGGCACGCAGTGGTTGGGGCGGGGCCGAGCTATGTGTGGAGTCCCTCACTCGCTAGTTCTTGGTTCTTTTTCTAGGTCATCCTTTTCCCTTCTCCAGCTCTCAGGGCCTCTTCCATCCTGGGTCTTCAATATTCAGTCTCTCTTTCCTCTCTCTCTTTCCCTCCCTTCTCCTCTCTTCCCCACCCCAACCCCTACTCCTTACTTAGTCTGAACTCCATATGTAGCAGAGTCTGGCCTTGAACTCTTTTTTTGTTTTGTTCTGTTGTTTTCAAGACAAGAGTCTCATTATGTAGTTCTTGTCCTGGAACTCATGCCATACACTAGGCTGGCCTTGAACTCACAGAGATCTGCTGCCCCCTGCCTCCTAAATGCTGGGATTAAAGGTGTCTGCTACTAAGACAGACTTTGGTCCTTTTTGTTTTGTTTTTTCAAGACAGGGTTTGGGTTTGTCTGTGTAACACCCTGGTTGCCCAGGAACTCCCTGTGTAGACCAGGCTGACCTCAAACTCAGAGATCCACTTGCCTCTGCCTCCTGAGTGCTGAGACAGTAAAGGCGTACCCAGCATGCCTAGCACGCTGGTGATCCTCCTGTTTCAACACTTCCTACCTGCTGGGGTTACAAGCCCAGCTGCAGTCAGTATTTTATGGAGTTTTTATCTTTTGAAAATGGCTCTCTCTACATGGCCACCACACTTTGCTTCTTTGTGTCTTAACTCATTCTCTCCGTAACCCATCCTAGGCCTCCTCCCTTTCTCTCCCTCCATTCTCTTCCTTTCCTCTCTTCTCTCCCCTCCCTCTCCCCTTCCCTTCCCTCCCTCCCCTTTCCTCTCCCCTCCCTCTCCTCTCTTTCCTCTTTCCATTCTCTCCTTCTCCCTCCCTCCCCCTCCCTCTCCTTCCCTTTCCCATCCCTCCTCTCCTCTCTTCCCCCTCCCCTACTCTTCCCTCTCTTCCTCTGACCGTTACCATTTTTGCAGTCAGGCATCAGTCCTCAAACTGTTTGCTCTCAAATCCCTTTGTGTAAAACTTGAGGGAGCCGAAGAGCTTTTGTTTCTTCTCTTTTTCTTATGATGCTCACCATGTTATGAATTAAGGCTAACATGTTTCTGAAACATGGAAATGCAGAAGCACACACTGCACTTAGCTGTGAGTGCAGAAATGTCATTGCATTTCATGACACCTCTGGAAGTTTTTCTTTACACTGGTAAGAGAATGAGCAGGGACAGACAAGGGACACGCTAGCATTGGCAATATCGTTTTGACCTCAGACTTCCTCAAAGAGCTGGTCTCTGAATCATACTTCGAGACTGTTCTAAAGTATTAGAGTTCACATCTAACTTCCTCTAGGACATACGACTCTAGGAAGAGGCAGTAATGAGCTAATTGTTCATTGTGGTCCTTGAGGCCTTCTGGAGGACACAGATATTCAGGGCCAGGGTGGAATGTTTCTGGAGAAGGAAAACGTACAGTGTGGGCCAGGAGAGAAGAGTGTAGGAGGAAGCAAGTGGGAGATGGAAGGACGGGAGAAGCCTCTCTTAGTAAGCAGGAGAGCAAAATGATTTTCTTCCCTCTTTATCCAAGTAGGATTGGGTTGTGGGAGGGCCTGCAGAGTTGGTGCAGTGACATTTTAAGAGCCTGACATTGAGAACTGATGTCATGCTTATGTCCTATGTTCACTAGGCCCTTGTGTCTCATACTACATAGAAATCTTCCAAATGCTTCTGTTTTAGTTAAGATTTGGGTCTTTTGTATCTGTTGGCGATTTCCAGGGGTAATATGACCCCTGGTGGCCATACTAGGGAACTAACCTCCATTTCTCAGTGATAAGCTCAGTCCAGATGCATGGAAGTCAGACGTCCACCAAGCTCTTACCACCAGCTGCTCTAAAGATGCTGTTAGCATCTGTCCCAAGCACTTCTCGTCCTCAGGACTCAAGGTCTGTGCTCTTCCTGGCTGGGGAGTATAAGCATCACCCCTCTGAGGCAGACACAGCTAAACAGAATTTTTAAAAGTTTGTGTGTGCGTGTGTGTGTGTGTGTGTGTAGTCTGTGGTTGTAGCTCAGTTGGTGGAGTGCTTGCTTTGCATGCATAAAGCCCTGGGGTTTTTTATCCCAGTACCACGTAAACCTGGCCTGGTATTGTATCATCCCAGCACCCAGGAAGTGGGTCCTAATAGCCTAATGGCACACCCTGTTAACCCCAGCGCTGTGGTGGCAGTGAAGATAGGAAGTTCTCTGTCAGTTTCAGAGGTGAGGCTAGCTTCATCTACACAGAGTCCCAGACAGCCATGGCTACATAGAGAGACTGTCTCAAAGAAAGAAAGAGAGAAAGAAAGAAGTAGACACAGGAAAGTCAGAAGTTCTATGTTATCCTCAGCTACATATTGAGTTCTGGGATACACACATAAGACAGTCTCAAAAAAAGTTCCTGGCTGTGGTGGCTCACGCCTCTAATCCGAGTGCTTAGGAGGCAGAGGCAGGTGGATCTCTGTGAGTTCAGGGGCAGAGTGGTTTACATAGCCAGGCCAGTCATACCACATGGTAAGACCCTCTTCTCAAAAGAGAGGACAAAACCAACATGAGGGGTTTGAGTCTGGTGTGCATTCCTGTAATCCCAGCTCTGTAGGCACTGAGGCTGGAGAACCACACACTGGAGGTCAGCATCTGCAAATCCCTAGGTGTGATCTCTAGCACAACAAAACTAGATAAACAAATTCATTGGGAAAAAAGATTGAACTAGGGGATAGTAGCATGTGCCTGTAATCCCAGCACTTGGGGGACAGAGGCAGGTGGATCTCTGTGAGTTGGAGGCCAGCCTGGTCTACAGAGCGAGTTCCAGGACAGCCAGGGCTACATGGAGGAACCCTGTCTTGAAACTTTCCCTGCCATAAAAAAAAAAAAAGAAAGAAAGAAAGAAAGAAAAGAAAAAATTGAGTACTTTAAGGTACAGGTATTGAGTGAATTCCAGAATAATTAAAACAGCATGTATCACCTAACAGACCATATAACTTATTTATTCTATTTTTTGTATGTATTTTCTGTCTTCATCTCTTTAGGTAGAATGTAAACTCCATGGGGGAGGGGGTACAAGGATTTTTGGTTGGTTGGTTCATTGATGTATTTACTAGCATCTAGAACAATGCTTGGCACAGAGTTAGTACTCAATAAAGACTCATTGAATGAACAGTCAGATCTTGTGAAGTACTTGACTATCCAGTGGTGACCATGACACAGGTGAACAATGTCCATACTGGAGGACTGGTGATAAAAGAAAGCAGGAGAAGGTACTGGCAGTTAAGAAAGCCACCACGTGCAGGTTCGCGGACATGCTTATAGGATACAACTGTACAGGATCAGGTAGGGAGAGTGGAGAAGAGAAGGTGTTGTGGGAGTGATGGGACTAGGGAGAGGTGTGGTCAGGCCCGCAGAAGCATCGGACGGAAGCAGGTGCCTCCAGCCCGAAATATGGCATCAGAGCCCAGAACGGTTTCCACACATTTCACCACCATGAGAACGACATTGGAGGCAGAGGAAACGAATAGCACGTGACGAGCAACAGGCTGTGCTGATCTAAAGAGACTGACATTTTCACAAAATGTCCCTCGCAGCAAGAAGGGGGCAGAAGGGAGAAACCCAGAGCCCTGCCCCCTACACTCACATGCACTGGGCATGCTCCGTTTAACACCAAGGAGGAAGAAGAGAAAATCTTAGGTGACAATAAGGGCATTAAGCAACTCAGGAGGTTGCAGCAGGAGGGTCTTGTGTTCAAGGTCAGCTTGGGCCAGTGATCGAGACTCTGTCTCAAAATAAACAGAGGGTTGAGGGCAGTTCTTGTCAATCATATTTCCTGTCTTGGGTTCAATCTCTAGTATGGAAAAAAGCACTATGGGGTTAAAACAAAATATCCCGGCTCTCACCCCCACAAGAAACTGTTATTCTGATGGTTGAAGTATTGTGACAGACACCTGTAGTCCCAAACTACTCTGGGGTCTACAGCAGGAGGACTTAGAATTCAAGGGCAGCCTGAACAATAAAGAAAATCCCTAGCTGGGCGGTGGTGGCGCACGCCTTTAATCCCAGCACCTGGGAGGCAGAGGCAGGCGGATTTGTGAGTTCGAGGCCAGCCTGGTCTGCAGAGTGAGTTCCAGGACAGCTAGGGCTACACAGAGAAACCCTGTCTCGAAAAACCAAAAAAAAAAAAAAAAAAAAAAAGAAAGAAAATCCCAAACCAGACAGTGGTGATGCACACCTTTAATCCCAGAGAGGCGGAGTTGGAGCAAGGCCAGATTGATCTGCAGAGCAAGTTCCAGGACAGCCAGGGCTACACGGAGACATCTTGTCTCAAGAAAAAGACAGACAGAAAGAATATATCTCTCAATAAATATATATGCAAATAATTTTTACACCACTATTTTAATATAATGTCTATAGCTTTTTTTTTTTGTTTGTTTGTTTTCGAGACAGGGTTTCTCTGTGTAGCCTTGGCTGTCCTGGATCTCACTCTGTAGACCAGGCTGGCCTTGAATTCAGAAATCTGCCTGCCTCTGCCTCCCAAGTGCTGGGATTAAAGGTGTGTACCACCACCGCCCGGCTAATTTTTACTTTCATGGTATGTGTTTCTCTCTCTCTCTCTCTCTCTCTCTCTCTCTCTTTTTCTCTTTTTGAGACAGAGTCTCTCTACTAAGATCTGGCTGTCCTAGTACTTAGTTACTATGTCATCAAGGTGGCCTCGAACTCACAGAGCTCCTGTTTCTGCCTCCAGAGCTTGGGCACTAAAAGCATTGTACCACTACATCTGGTTTTTGTTTTGCTTGTTTGTTTGTTTGTTTGTTGAGACAGGTGCTTGTTCTGCATCCCAGCCTGTCTTTGAGCTCTCAATCCTCCTGCCTCAGCTTCTGAAGTGTTAAGATCACATGTGCTCCACCATACTTTTCTAGGGAGCCTCATTTTATTTAGTTACTACAAGGGCCTCTGATTTCACACAGAGGAAATACTAGAGACTATGAAGGTCTAAAGGTCACACCACCAGGAAGTGGCTCAGTCTCTGTTTCCTAAATTCTTTACTTCCAGCCTTAGCAAACCTGGCACCCCCTTCAGGTCCTACAGGCAGTGCTATCTCCAGCTGCTTTTTCCTCAGGCCACCTACGGACTTGCCAGCCCATAATAATCCTAATAACTTGTTGTGTAAAGGTTTCTTCTGAAATTGAAACATTCCACCCAGCAGGGAAGCTCCTTAAGCAGGAAGGTAAACAAGACAAAAATAGTTTCAGGAAGTGCCTAAAACTGACCAGATTCACTAGGCCTATCCCTTGT